CATGTTTTTAACCTCGCCTCCTGTTTTTGAAGATGGTGCCTCAGAAGATACTGTTTCTTCGTCATGACTTTATTATTGCCGCCGCCCTGGGCATCTATTGTTGTTGAGGACTGAACGGCCTGTCCACCTCCGAGTCTGAGGCGCTTCCGGGACGTTGCGGTCTCGCGGCTGTGGCAGGGGGTTGTCCTGATCCTGGGAGAGATAGAGGAGGCTTTTTTACTACGTCGCTGCTGGTTCCAGTGGTTTCATTGTTATTGATGTGATGTAAAGGAATGGACAGAACATGTGCAGGTCTGAGGGATGTGGTACAATGGGGACTTTGTTTTAGCCTTGTTACTATAATAATAATGATAATGGTAGGCACGGCAGGTTTATTTATATGGCACAGTTCATACACAAGGCAGCTCTATAAGGACTGAACAAAACAAGATGGAGACAGTCGCACAAGGCGTTAAGTCATAAATAATCACAGTACATTAAAAGGTTGTATAAATAACTGTTTTTAACCTGGATTTGAACATTGTCAGTGAAGAAGCCTGTCTCACATCTTCAAGAATACTGTTTTTAGCTGCATAAATCTGAAACGCTGCCTCCCCATGTTTAGTCCTGACTCTGGACCAGCAGGAGGCCAGTCCCTGTGCTCCTCAGAGTCCCAGCAGGAGGCCAGTCCCTGTGCTCCTCAGATTCCCAGCAGGAGGCCAGTCCCTGTGCTCCTCAGAGTCCCAGCAGGAGGCCAGGCCCTGTGCTCCTCAGAGTCCCAGCAGGAGGCCAGGCCCTGTGCTCCTCAAAGTCCCAGCAGGAGGCCCGTCCCTGTGCTCCTCAGAGTCCCAGCAGGAGGCCAGGCCCTGTGCTCCTCAGAGTTGGTTCTGATGGCATGTCACCGAGGAAAGAGCTGCTTTAAAGACTATTTTTTGGCCATGGCGTGTGTGGTGGATCCAGACCAGACCAGGACTCAGACTCTGTCCAGCTGCAACTCTGTCGGCACGATGGCTGAGTGGGTAGCACTCTCGCTTCTCAGCAAGAAGGTCCAGGGTCTTTCTGAGTGGAGTTTGCAAGTTCTCCCCGTGCCTGCTTAGGTTTCCTCCGGGTACTCCGGTATCCCTTACCACTAAAAACATGCACACTAAGTCAAATCCTCCAGCTGCAATAGTTCTGACCAAGCCGAGCATCAACATCTGGAGGTGGGTTCCCGGGCGCTGTTACTACGGCGACCACTGCTTCGGACGTAAGCCTTAGTGGCATCAGGATGTGTCAAATGCAGAGGATTGAACTGCCCTACGGGGATTAATAATGTGCACCTTTACCTTAGCCCCAGACTCTGATGAAACTGTGCAAACGGACCATAACGCAGGTGACAGAAGTGTATCTAAAGTAGGAGCTGGATGTTCCTAGAGGCAGAGACGGCCATTTTCTTTCACTTACTATTGATTCAAAGTAAGCATTGCTCTGCTAATGCAAAACTTTGACGTTACTTTCCCCAAATATATAAGTACAAACTAAATGTAGCTTATGATGCTAATGCGTGAGGTCGATGGAGCTTTTTGTTTGAACCATACACTTAATATTGACTCATGGACTGCTGCCGTTTTTGATGATTTCACTGATTCTCACGTCCCACAGAATATTATTTCCTAAGACTATGTGAAATATGAAACCAGATTCTGAAAGAGTGGATTGTCTACTTTCATCAGCAAAAATAAGTTTGTTTCTAGCTATTTTAATTGTCCTGTAACCCCAAGTCAAATAGAGGGTCTCAGACAAATACGTCAATGGCAGTGAATGAGTTAAGGACGTAGTGCCGCCTTTCTCCGCTGTTGAAACTAATGTGCCATCGTTTCTTCTTCTGTGGCCTTTGTCAAAATGGAAGCGTGGCAGAAAAATGTGGAAAAAAAAAAAATTGCGCATGCGTTAGCCGACACTAGCCGTATTCATTTAACAAGTGCCTTCTGAAGTCCACAGCAGCTAAACTAGACTGGTCCAAAAACAAATCAACAGCATCTAGAACCAAGAGTGACTTTTGGACAATCCTGTAAAGACGTTTTTTGAGAGGAAAGAAGACGCCATACAACAGCATTGGGTAATTCTCTTTCCGGGTACACCCCCACCACCTGGGAGGGAGATTGCAGCATGTCAGCGCTCATGGACCTTTTGCCGTCCACTGATTTGAATGTGAAATTAAGTGTTATGATCTACACCTTCCAGACTCTGAATAATGAATCCGTCAATTTGTTAAAAAAAATTAAAAAAAATAATAATTATTGCAGATATTGAAAGTCATGTACCTCAGCTTTAAAGGATGGACCTGTCCTGCTCCAACCAGCGGCAACTCCAAATGTTTGTTAACTTTAGCACATGGTCACTGCCTTCAAACCAGATTTACCAACAGAACAAAGCAAAATGATCTTGTTTTTATAAGATTCAGAAATATCTCCCTTGGATTGAGAACAGTTCTTGAAATAAGACTAAATTTGCTCCATTTGCAAATCTGGTTTTACACAGTCACGATGTGCTCAGATTAACATAAAACCACTCACTTTAAGCATTTTCTACCTCATATTTTCAGTGCACTGAAAATGGCGAGTTTTATAATTGAATGTAGTTTACAATTATTGTAAAATTATAGTTTTAAGTTTAAAATACTGAGCGACAATGGCTCAGTTGGTAGAGCATTGGCCTTTGGGCCTGAAGGTCGTGGGTTCGAGCCCACCGTAAGACCTACTTCACGACTCCCACTGATGACTGCTGTCGTTGTGTCCTTGGGCAAGACACTTTAACCCCACTTTGCCTGAAGCTCCCACTGAAAGATCTCAGCTCCTGTGGACTCACCACCTGCAGGAGGATCAGTGAGAGGCTGGTGCTCTGTGGACAGGGTGTAGCTCTGACTGCTGCCCCCCCCGACCCAGAAATGGATTAAGGGGAAGAAAATGGATGGAGTTTAATAATACCTCATAATCTTATTATTGGAAAAAGTCTTTAGAGCTTTTTTTAAGTAATTTTTCTCATTTCCAGAACATTTCTTATTTGTGCTATATTTTAAGAAAACATTTCTTAATTTGTTTGAAAGAAAAAAGTAAATAATAATAAAAGTTTTCTTGTTCTTTTAGCAGATCTTTTGTTTATTATTATTTCAAGCATTATTTTACTTATTTTCATTTTTTTTCATATCTCTCTCTCTATCTATCTATCTTTTCTCAATCAAGTCTCCATGCAAACTGTCACAGCATCCATCCTCAGGGACAATCTCTACTACTTTTTCAGATATTTCTTCTTCTTCTTCAGTGACTGTGTTTCCAGTGTGGATTATGGAAGTCCGTGCTGTGACCCCCGGCCCGGTGGCGGCACATGCCTGAGATGCCTCCGTGGCCCTGGCTGCTGTCTCTCACACCTCCCCCTGTTCCAACTATGTGCTCGGCCCGGTCCCTCTCGCCTGCGCGTGACATCACAAGCTGTTTCCACTCGCTGAGCAGACAGGATATCGCTGAAGAGCCTGGCACTCGAGTGGAAGTGCTGCGAGGAGAAGCCACAAATATATACAGCTCTGTTCTGTGCACACGCAGTGATACGCCTCAGACTGGGATGGAAACTCTAATACACAGGCGGAATCCAGGACTGAGGCTGTAGACCCAGGACGGAGGCTGTAGACCCAGGACTGAGGCTGTAGACCCAGGACTGAGGCTGTAGATCCAGGACTGAGGCTGTAGATCCAGGACTGAGGCTGTAGACCGAGGACTGAGACTGTAGACCCAGGACTGAGGCTGTAGACCCAGGACGGAGGCTGTAGACCCAGGACTGAGGCTGTAGACCGAGGACTGAGACTGTAGACCCAGGACTGAGGCTGTAGACCCAGGACTGAGACTGTAGATCCAGGACTGAGGCTGTAGACCCAGGACTGAGGCTGTAGACCCAGGACTGAGGCTGTAGATCCAAGACTGAGGCTGTAGACCCAGCACTGAGGCTGTAGACCCAGGATTGAGTTCTAGTAGCTTCAGATTTCTACGATTCCTGTATTATCACCCACAGAGTGTAGTTATCGTCTGTTCCATGAGCTCAGGATCAGTTTCTCTCTTCGTGCGTTGAGGCTGATTAACGGTATAATTTGCGAGTGGTTGAGGTCACAGGTGCAGAACAGAACACAGAACATATTATTAGACTTTCATAAGCAGCAGGTCAGAGTCACCTCCAGCCCGAGCCTCCACAAAAAAACAAAAAAAACATGTTATTTTTTACACTTGATGATTTGTGTGGACGTCTCCGCCACAGAAGGTCAGGACGTGGGTGTCGTGGCGGTGTCAGAACGAGACAAACGGTTTCTTAAAGGCTCAACTCTTCTGGAAACAACTTTTCTCTTTACTTTTTCCAATGGCCGGAAATAATTGTGAGGTCACATGTGCAAATGGTGTTTAATTATTGACCAGAAACAGCAGTTATACACTAGTTTTACACCAGAATTCAATGTATTAAGCTTTTTTACCTTTCATTCCATTTTGCTAAAACTTGAAGTGCTAAATCTATTGAATATAACTTGAAATAGACAAAATGGTAACTAATACTTGCTCTGCTTTTAGACAAAAACACTGCTATAGGAGCATCAATAACAGACAATACTGGTATTTTATAACAAACTATCCATCCATCCATTTTCTTCCGCTTCATCCGTTGCCGGGTCGCGGGGGCAGCAGTCTAAGCAGAGACGCCCAGACTTCCGTATCCACACACACCTCCTCCAGCTCGTCCGGGGGGACCCCAAGGCGTTCCCAGGTCAGCTGAGAGACATAGTCCCTCCAGCGTGTCCTGGGTCTTCCCCGGGGCCTCCTCCCGGTGGGACGTGCCCGGAACACCTCCCCAGGAAGGCGTCCAGGAGGCATCCGGAACAGATGCCCGAGCCACCTCAACTGGTTCCTCTCGATGTGGAGAAGCAGCGGCTCTACTCTGAGCTCCCCACCCTATCTCTAAGGGAGCAGCCACTCTGCGGAGGAAGCTCATTTCGACCGCTTGTATCCGCGATCTCGTTCTTTCGGTCATTACCCAAAGCTCATGACCATAGGTGAGGGAGGGAACGAAGATTGACCGGTAAATCGAGAGCTTTGCCTTTCGGCTCTGCTCCCTCTTCACCACAACGGTCCGATACAGCTCTGACTGCAGACGCTGCTCCCTCTTTACCACAACGGTCCGATACAGCTCTGACTGCAGACGCTGCTCCCTCTTTACCACAACGGTCCGATACAGCTCTGACTGCAGACGCTGCTCCCTCTTTACCACAACGGTCCGATACAGCTCTGACTGCGGACGCTGCTCCCTCTTCACCACAACGGTCCGATACAGCTCTGACTGCAGACGCTGCTCCCTCTTCACCACAACGGTCCAATACAGCTCTGACTGCAGACGCTGCTCCCTCTTTACCACAACGGTCCGATACAGCTCTGACTGCAGACGCTGCTCCCTCTTTACCACAACGGTCCAATACAGCTCTGACTGCAGACGCTGCTCCCTCTTTACCACAACGGTCCGATACAGAGACCGCATCACTGCGCACGCTGCACCGATCCGCCTGTCAATCTCACGCTCCATCCTCCCCTCACTCGTGAACAAGACCCCGAGATACTTGAACTCCTCCACTTGAGGAAGGACCTCTCCACCCACCTGAAGAGAGCAGGGCACCTTTTTCCGGTCGAGCACCATGACCTCAGATTTGGAGGAGCTGATTATAACAAACTATTCCAGTTCTATCCCAGCGGCTTCACCACCGTTCTGCTGTTGAACTTTATTACTATTGTTAGAAACTAGAATTATGTATTTATTGGTTTGTATGGATGGATGTGTTTCTTCTCTCTCTCTCTCTCTGTCTCTCTCTCTCTGTCTCTCTCTCTCTCTGTCTCTCTCTCTCTCTCTCTTTCTGTGTGTCTTTCTCTCTATGTCTCTCTAGCTGTCTCCTTTTCTCTCTCATTTTCTTCTTATTCTCTCTTCTTTCCAGGTCTTCCCAGGGCTCACCGTCTTATCTCATCTTTTCTACAAAGTTTTTCATTTCGTCTGCTTCATTGATCCTCTGCTTCATTGATCCTCTGCATCACTGATCGTCTGCATCACTGATCCTCTGCATCACTGATCCTCTGCATCACTGATCCTCTGCATCATTGATCCTCTGCATCACTGATCCTCTGCATCACTGATCCTCTGCATCACTGATCCTCTGCATCACTGATCGTCTGCTTCACTGATCCTCTGCATCATTGATCCTCTGCATCACTGATCCTCTGCATCACTGATCCTCTGCATCACTGATCCTCTGCATCACTGATCGTCTGCATCACTGATCCTCTGCATCATTGATCCTCTGCATCACTGATCCTCTGCATCACTGATCCTCTGCATCACTGATCCTCTGCATCACTGATCGTCTGCATCACTGATCCTCTGCATCACTGATCCTCTGCTTCACTGATCCTCTGCATCACTGATCCTCTGCATCACTGATCCTCTGCTTCACTGATCCTCTGCATCACTGATCCTCTGCATCACTGATCCTCTGCATCACTGATTCTCTGCATTATTCTGCTCTATAAGACGGAGCACAACATCGCACAGTTCTTTTACCATTAGCTTGTCCCTGGAGCATTAGCGATTAGCTGCTAGCATCTCCCAGACTCCGGGCCTCGGCCAAGTGAACCGTGACTTATGACGGGACTAGCATGTGGCGCAGTGACGGATTAGCCCCCGGCACATGTACAGTGTGGGAGAACATTAAGAACACAGACATAATGTGAGTAATGAGATGTTAAAGACATTTAGAATCTAATCTGAAGAACAATCAGCGACGACGCCAAACACAAACGCTCTGACGAAAGACACGACAGCGTCTGCTTCGGACGAAGACTCACACGTCTCACTCCGAGATTTATGGATCCATCGAGAAAGACCACATCTGAATGTTTTTTACGGGTGCATGTAGAATAGTATACGTATAGATAGATAGATCTACAGCCTCAGTCCTGGGTCTACAGCCTCAGTCCTGGATCTACAGCCTCAGTCCTGGGTCTACAGCCTCAGTCCTGGATCTACAGCCTCAGTCCTGGGTCTACAGCCTCAGTCCTGGGTCTACAGCCTCAGTCCTGGGTCTACAGCCTCAGTCCTGGGTCTACAGCCTCAGTCCTGGATCTACAGCCTCAGTCCTGGGTCTAAAGCCTCAGTCCTGGGTCTACAGCCTCAGTCCTGGATCTACAGCCTCAGTCCTGGATCTACAGCCTCAGTCCTGGATCTACAGCCTCAGTCCTGGGTCTACAGCCTCAGTCCTGGAGGTTTTTCACTTTGTTCCAATGGAGTTGTTCCTTGTCGATGCAGGAGGGTCTCATGAATCTGGTGTTGGCTTTACAATTAAATCAGTGAAGCTGAAGTTGGCTGGATGATGCTGTGAAAGTCCCTCAATGGCTCCTCGGCCACAGAACTGGACATACCGGGCCACATTTGGCACTTGGGCCTGAGTTTGGATGTCTGCCTTAGTACCGTGGAGAGAGTGGACAGTGTCTGATGCGTCTGAGGAAGTGTTGAAGTCCTCGGGTCCGTCGCACCGGGAGCTTTTCTCTATTCATCCAAGTGCTTATATTTAGCTGGAGCCAAAGCACTTAACCCGAGCTGAGTGTCCCCTCAACCCTGAGTGGGATTATCAGTCTTCAACGGGCGCGTCAGCAAAACTTTCTAAAAATATTTAAATTAATAGTCTCAGTCTTGGATCCACAGCCTCAGTCCTGGGTCTACAGCCTCAGTCCTGGATCTACAGCCTCAGTCCTGGATCTACAGTCTCAGTCCTGGATCTACAGCCTCAGTCCTGGACCTAAGACTCAGACTGGTTCAAGGTAGAAGTAATAAGCTAAAATAAATGAATGTATTTATGTAATCATTGTCCTCCTCTTCTGTTCTGGAGCGAAGAGGTCTGGTTTATTTCAAGTCACAAAGTTGCAAACAAGAAAAGCTGACTTCATTTTAACATTTTAAAGCCTGGGCATTCACCAAATCCTCTTTGTCCTGTGAAATCGATCAGAATTACCCTGAGATTGCAGCTGCTTTAAGACCCACGGGACACATCAGACTCAAATCAGCAGAGAAATAAATCCGGATAGATCCAGGTCTGAACTTCTTTGCATTTAGATGTGGTCTCCTGCATGTCGACCCGTCCAATCACTCCACAAGAACCGCAGAATGTAGTGAGTTAGTCAGACCAGAGAAGAGCGGCACGGTTTCCTGGGTTTGATTCCACCTCCAGGCCTTTCTTTGTGGAGTTTGCATGTTCTCCCCGTGTCTGTGTTTGTTCCTACAGGTGCTGCGGTTTCCCCTACACCACTAAAAACAAATAAAATAGGCATGCGTCCCCTGTATGGCGACCTCACTCCCATCTCTGTGTGGAGTCGGGGACAAATGCCCACAAAAAATGTTAATAATAAAGTGCTTTGTGACTTTACAGTTGTCGTGTGCATTTGTCTCGGCCTCCACACAGATGGGAGCGGGGTTGACTACAGAAAGAGCATGTCAGACCTTTTCTATGTGTTTAAAGTGGTGGGGGAAAGTTGTAGACCTACGCTGACACGGGGAGAACATGCAAACTCCACACAGAAAGGTCCCCAGGTGGAAGTGAACCCAGGGCCTTCTCGCAGTGAAGGACAAGCGCTAACCACGGCGCCACTGTCCCGCCCAAATAACAAGTTCTGTTTCCTAATCGATCCATAATTTAGTTTGTTTTTTGTTTGACAGGAGAGTGCACTGCGACAATAACAGTATTTAAGAGGATTGTTTACTTCCGGGTGGATCATCAACGCTATTGGTCCTCCCAGCTGTCAATCATTCTGGTGATACGTGCTCGTCCAATCAGACCAGAGAGTTTGGTTCAAAGAATGTAGAGAGCGGTTCTTTCCGAAAATTTGGAAAGCTCAAAGACGGATGTGTTTTGGGCCAGATTTCAGCGACACAGCCGTATAGACACACACACACAAACACACACATACAGTACACTGACGCACACACACACACATAGGCACACACACACATTCGCATGCACACAAACTCACGTGCAGACACCCACTGACGCACCCACACAAACACACACGCACATAAATACGCACACACACTCACGCGCACACCCATCCACACACACACCCACGCTTGCACACACACAAACACACAAAATAACAACAGAATAATTTTTACTTTCACTTCAGTTTCCCCACGTCTTCTTGTTGCTTTTAGTTCAGATTTTTGTGCTCGATTATTATCTTGGATTTGTTTTTATCTCATTAAAATACACTTTCATTTGCCGCCGTGCATTGTGGGTCCTTCTTATGTTTTTAGATGGACTGACCTTCCGAACACGTCAGAAAATAAAAACTAGAAGCTGTAATGATACAGAGAGTTCCATACGCTCCAATTGTAATCATAACAAATCTACCTCTGAGACTCATGCCTATAACCAACTATATATTCAGACCCAGAGTTTGCACGTTCTCCCTGTGTCTGTCCAGGTAGCCTCCATGTCGGACAGTATAGGTCAAATCCAAAGTCCTCATACATAATTCTCATCACGTCCTGAAGTTAAAAGCGCCATTTGTCACTGACCGCGAGCTCCTGGGTCCAGAGGGAGACATTACACTCGACATTCTCTGACCCAGTCCCAGAGCAGCGTTTGGGACTGGAACCTAGAACAGTCTCTGGTAAAGTCTCTGGTACAGTCTGTGGTTAAGTCTCTGGTCTCTCGTCATACAGGAGTCAAATGCCAGAACTATTGAACATGTTTTTAGTGGTAGGGCAAACCGGAGCACACGGAGGAAACCTACGCAGACACGAGGAGAGCGTATTAACTCCAAGGCCCTGTTCCGACCGGGATTCGACCTTCATACTGAGAAGCCACAGTACTGCCCAGCACATATTTACAGAGTTCAGATATGGTTCCATTCTCTCCCCACGGTGATGCCAGAAGCGAGACTTCGAACACACTGGACCATCAAAGCCCCAACACCATCGATTCACGCTAAAAACATGTACAGACCTTAGGTACAGACTAACGGATGTAGTCACGCCTATCTCTGCCTCTGAAAGTAAAATACCTCCAGTTTTGCCTTCAATGGGGCTTTTTCAAAATGGCCGTAGGGCTGAAAATTTTGAAAAAAAAAACGCATTTGCGCATGTGTGAGCTGCACTAGCAACCAGTGCATTCAAAAGTCCACAGCGGCTAAACTAGACTGGTCCAAAAAAAATCAAGCATTGAAAGCTTTGGACCAAGAGCCACTTTTGTACCATCCTGTAAAGACGTTTTTTGACAAGAATAAAGACGCCATATAAAAGCAGTGGGTAATTCTCTTTCCGGGTACACCCCCACCACCTGGGAGTGAGATTGCAGCATGTCAGGGCTAGTGCTCATGGACTTTTTGGAGCTGGGACCCGCACACACTGGTACTGACCTGAACATGTTTTTAGTGGTAGGGGAAACCGAAGCACCCGGAGGAAACCAAAGCACCCGGAGGAAACCGAAGCACCCGGAGGAAACCGAAGCACCCGGAGGAAACCAAAGCACCCGGAGGAAACCGAAGCACCCGGAGGAAACCGAAGCACCCGGAGGAAACCGAAGCACCCGGAGGAAACCGAAGCACCCGGAGGAAACCAAAGCACCCGGAGGAAACCAAAGCACCCGGAGGAAACCGAAGCACCCGGAGGAAACCGGAGCACCCGGAGGAAACCAAAGCACCCGGAGGATACCGAAGCACCCGGAGGAAACCGAAGCACCCGGAGGAAACCAAAGCACCCGGAGGAAACCAAAGCACCCGGAGGAAACCGAAGCACCCGGAGGAAACCGGAGCACCCCGAGGAAACCGAAGCACCAGGAGGAAACCGAAGCACCTGGAGGAAACCGGAGCACCCCGAGGAAACCGAAGCACCAGGAGGAAACCGAAGCACCTGGAGAAAACCAAAGCACCAAGAGGAAACCGAAGTACCAAGAGGAAACCGAAGCACCCGGAGGAAACCGAAGCACCCGGAGGAAACCAAAGCACCCGGAGGAAACCGAAGCACCCGGAGGAAACCGGAGCAGCCCGAGGAAACCGAAGCACCAGGAGGAAACCGAAGCACCAAGAGGAAACCGAAGTACCAAGAGGAAACCGAAGCACCCGGAGGAAACCGAAGCACCCGGAGGAAACCGAAGCACCCGGAGGAAACCAAAGCACCCGGAGGAAACCGAAGCACCCGGAGGAAACCGAAGCACCCGGAGGAAACCGAAGCACCCGGAGGAAACCGAAGCACCCGGAGGAAACCGAAGCACCCGGAGGAAACCAAAGCACCCGGAGGAAACCGAAGAACCCTGCATCACTGATCCTCTGCATCACTGATCCTCTGCTTCACTGATCCTCTGCATCACTGATCCTCTGCATCACTGATCCTCTGCATCACTGATTCTCTGCATTATTCTGCTCTATAAGACGGAGCACAACATCGCACAGTTCTTTTACCATTAGCTTGTCCCTGGAGCATTAGCGATTAGCTGCTAGCATCTCCCAGACTCCGGGCCTCGGCCAAGTGAACCGTGACTTATGACGGGACTAGCATGTGGCGCAGTGACGGATTAGCCCCCGGCACATGTACAGTGTGGGAGAACATTAAGAACACAGACATAATGTGAGTAATGAGATGTTAAAGACATTTAGAATCTAATCTGAAGAACAATCAGCGACGACGCCAAACACAAACGCTCTGACGGTGAAACCGAAGTACCAAGAGGAAACCGAAGCACCCGGAGGAAACCGAAGCACCCGGAGGAAACCAAAGCACCCGGAGGAAACCGAAGCACCCGGAGGAAACCGGAGCAGCCCGAGGAAACCGAAGCACCAGGAGGAAACCGAAGCACCAAGAGGAAACCGAAGTACCAAGAGGAAACCGAAGCACCCGGAGGAAACCGAAGCACCCGGAGGAAACCGAAGCACCCGGAGGAAACCAAAGCACCCGGAGGAAACCGAAGCACCCGGAGGAAACCGAAGCACCCGGAGGAAACCGAAGCACCCGGAGGAAACCGAAGCACCCGGAGGAAACCGAAGCACCCGGAAGAAACCAAAGCACCCGGAGGAAACCGAAGCACCCGGAGGAAACCAAAGCACCCGGAGGAAACCGAAGCACCCGGAGGAAACCGAAGAACCCGGAGGAAACCAAAGCACCCGGAGGAAACCGAAGCACCCGGAGGAAACCGAAGCACCCGGAGGAAACCGGAGCACCCGGAGGAAACCAAAGCACCCGGAGGAAACCGAAGCACCCGGAGGAAACCGAAGCACCCGGAGGAAACCAAAGCACCCGGAGGAAACCAAAGCACCCGGAGGAAACCGAAGCACCCGGAGGAAACCGGAGCACCCCGAGGAAACCGAAGCACCAGGAGGAAACCGAAGCACCTGGAGGAAACCGGAGCACCCCGAGGAAACCGAAGCACCAGGAGGAAACCGAAGCACCTGGAGAAAACCGAAGCACCAAGAGGAAACCGAAGTACCAAGAGGAAACCGAAGCACCCGGAGGAAACCGAAGCACCCGGAGGAAACCAAAGCACCCGGAGGAAACCGAAGCACCCGGAGGAAACCGGAGCACCCCGAGGAAACCGAAGCACCAGGAAGAAACCGAAGCACCAAGAGGAAACCGAAGTACCAAGAGGAAACCGAAGCACCCGGAGGAAACCGAAGCACCCGGAGGAAACCGAAGCACCCGGAGGAAACCAAAGCACCCGGAGGAAACCGAAGCACCCGGAGGAAACCGAAGCACCCGGAGGAAACCGAAGCACCCGGAGGAAACCGAAGCACCCGGAGGAAACCAAAGCACCCGGAGGAAACCAAAGCACCCGGAGGAAACCGAAGCACCCGGAGGAAACCGGAGCACCCGGAGGAAACCAAAGCACCCGGAGGAAACCGAAGCACCCGGAGGAAACCGAAGCACCCGGAGGAAACCAAAGCACCCGGAGGAAACCAAAGCACCCGGAGGAAACCGAAGCACCCGGAGGAAACCGGAGCACCCTGAGGAAACCGAAGCACCAGGAGGAAACCGAAGCACCTGGAGGAAACCGGAGCACCCCGAGGAAACCGAAGCACCAGGAGGAAACCGAAGCACCTGGAGAAAACCGAAGCACCAAGAGGAAACCGAAGTACCAAGAGGAAACCGAAGCACCCGGAGGAAACCGAAGCACCCGGAGGAAACCGAAGCACCCGGAGGAAACCGGAGCACCCCGAGGAAACCGAAGCACCAGGAGGAAACCGAAGCACCAAGAGGAAACCGAAGTACCAAGAGGAAACCGAAGCACCCGGAGGAAACCGAAGCACCCGGAGGAAACCGAAGCACCCGGAGGAAACCAAAGCACCCGGAGGAAACCGAAGCACCCGGAGGAAACCGGAGCACCCCGAGGAAACCGAAGCACCAGGAGGAAACCGAAGCACCCGGAGGAAACCGAAGCACCAAGAGGAAACCGAAGCACCCGGAGGAAACCGAAGCACCAAGAGGAAACCGAAGCACCCGGAGGAAACCGAAGCACCCTGAGGAAACCGAAGCACCCGGAGGAAACCGAAGCACCCGGAGGAAACCGAAGCACCCGGAGGAAACCGAAGCACCAAGAGGAAACCGAAGCACCCGGAGGAAACCGAAGCACCCGGAGGAAACCGAAGCACCAGGAGGAAACCGAAGCACCCGGAGGAAACCGGAGCACCCCGAGGAAACCGAAGCACCAGGAGGCAACCGAAGCACCCGGAGGAAACCGAAGCACCAAGAGGAAACCGAAGCACCCGGAGGAAACCGAAGCACCCTGAGGAAACCGAAGCACCCGGAGGAAACCGAAGCACCAAGAGGAAACCAAAGCACCAGGAGGAAACCGAAGCACCCGGAGGAAACCGAAGCACCAAGAGGAAACCGAAGCACTCGGAGGAAACCGAAGCACCTGGAGGAAACCGAAGCACCCGGAGGAAACCGAAGCACCCGGAGGAAACCGAAGCACCAGGAGGAAACCGAAGCACCCGGAGGAAACCGAAGCAAACCGAAGCACCAGGAGGAAACCGAAGCACCAGGAGGAAACCGAACCACCCGGAGGAAACCGAAGCAAACCGAAGCACCCGGAGGAAAGGGATAAAACATTCCACTCCAGAAAATGTGAAGTGGAAAAGAATAGTCTTGAACGGTCCTCAACGCTGCGCAAAAAACTGAAATATTCCTGTGTTTTTAAAAGCAAAGCAAATTGGCCTCGTATTCTTTAATATCAGCCTCGCGCCACACGCCGCAGACTTAATTGAATCCTTTCACCACATTTTCTGGATCAAACGTTGCTATTTTGGTCCCGGAGAGAAAGTCCTGTTGGAAAATGTTCTGACCTCGCTGCTATCGCTGCAAACATCCAAACAAAAGAGCATAATGCGTTTTGTTCAAATTCAAACATGAGAAAAAAAATCCGTCCAATTTCAATATGTCAGGCTTTCAATAGAAACTCACGGTCGAAGGTTTGAGTTCAATTACAAAAATGTTTCTTGTTTAATTTACACATTTCTCATACACAGCAAAAAATGCTAGAATATGAGGTTAAAAAAGGCTTGAATTGAGTGTTTTTTTTTTCCACATTGGAAAAAAAATGAATGAAAAATAAAACAAAATACGTAAAATACTGCTTAGAATAAGAAAAAATCTCTGCCAATATCAGCCAATCGAGCTCTCCTGGATCTACAGCCTCAGTCCTGGATCTACAACCTCAGTCCTGGATCTACAGCCTCATTCCTGGTACAGCCTCAGTCCTGGATCTACAGCCTCAGTCCTGAATCTACAGCCTCAGTCCTGGATCTACAGCCTCAGCCCTGGAGCTACAGCCTCAGTCCTGGGTCTACAGCCTCAGTCCTGGATCTACAGCCTCAGTCCTGGATCTACAGCCTCAGTCCTGGGTCTACAGCCTCAGTCCTGGATCTACAGCCTCAGTCCTGGATCTACAGCCTCAGTCCTGGATCTACAGCCTCAGTCCTGGATCTACAGCCTCAGTCCTGGGTCTACAGCCTCAGTCCTGGGTCTACAGCCTCAGTCCTGGGTCTACAGCCTCAGTCCTGGGTCTAACTCCTGGGGTAACTCTGCTCGAGTTGATATTGTTTGTTGGCGGGGTATGCACTCTACTACTGCTTCTAAGTACTACTCTGACTTCTCTCAACAACTATTTGAACACACACAATAAAGTTCTGGGTCTGAGTCTAACTCGTGAGTCTGAGTCTGTGGCTTTGACCCGGTTTTGCGTCCCTCAGTATTTGTGTAGTGAATGTGTGGGATCCATGTGTGTGTCTTTATGTCACAGATAATGATGTGAGAACATAAACAAACTCCAGGATGTTTAGTGTTTTGGCTCTAAACTGTATTTCAGAGAAGTGATTGGTGGTACAGCCCAGGGGTGAGGGGGGGGGAGACCCTGTCCCTGGTCTCCTCCTGGTGGGACAGGCCCTGCAGGACACCTCCACAGAAAGACGTCCAGGAGGCGTCCAGAACAGATGCCAGAGCCACCTTCACTGGTGTGTGTGTGTGAGTGTACCGGGGAAGAAGGAAAACTTATATCCCATGTGAAAGTGTTTTTTCTCTTATCTATAGCTTGACTGAGAATCGGGCTGTCCTGCATTTTCACACAGTGTGGTTTCTTTCTGCTCGGTTGATGCTGGGTTTACGGCCCCAGTCAAATCCTCAGAGCCACTGTTTCACACTCACCGCCCACTTTATTAGTCACACCCATCCCACTCCACAGGATCTTCTTATTCTCCGCCTTTGGAGGAGTTTCTCACTTAGACCTTGGAGTTTCCAGCCCATACTCTCCACAGAAATTTCTGAACACTATGCAGCCACTTGGTTATGGTGTTCCATGTAGGACTTCCCAGCAGCATCTTCCACCCTGCAGTTATGTCTCATGTCTTATGTTGTCTCTTGCACCCTGCAGTTATGTCTCATGTCTTATGTTGTCTCTTGCACCCTGCAGTTATGTGTTGGATCGTCTCAGGTGCCTCTTTGCACAACCACGGTCTGCAAGAGCCTCTCTGAACACAGAACACGTCAGACCTTGAGGCGGCTATAGCAGCAGAAGACCACATCGGGGGCCAGTCCAGCTAAAAACAGGAAACTGAGGCTACAATTTGCACAAGCTCAAATTGGACAATAGAAGTTTGGAAAAAGTTGCCAGGTCTGATGAGTCTGATTTTTGCTGCGACATTCGGATGGTAGTGTCAGAGTTGTGAGTCAACAACATGAAAGCACGGATCCATCCTGCCTTGTTTCAATGGATCAGGTGGTGTTGGTGTCATGGTGTGTGTGTGTGTGGGGGGTGTCATTCCTCAGTCTCCTTTAGTCTCCTTCAGTCTCCTTCAGTCTCCTCAGTCTCCTCAGTCTCCTCAGTCTCCTTCAGTCTCCTTTAATCTCCTCAGTCTCCTCAGTCTCCTCAGTCTCCTCAGTCTCCTTCAGTCTCCTCAGTCTCCTCAGTCTCCTTCAGTCTCCTCAGTCTCCCCAGTCTCCTCAGTCTCCTCAGTCTCTTTCAGTCTCCTCAGTCTCCTCAGTCTCCTCAGTCTCCTTCAGTCTCCTTTAATCTCCTCAGTCTCCTCAGTCTCCTCAGTCTCCTCAGTCTCCTTCAGTCTCCTTTAATCTCCTCAGTCTCCTCAGTCTCCTCAGTCTCCTTCAGTCTCCTCAGTCTCCTCAGTCTCCTTCAGTCTCCTCAGTCTCCCCAGTCTCCTCAGTCTCCTCAGTCTCCTTCAGTCTCCTCAGTCTCCTCAGTCTCCTCACTCTCCTCAGTCTCCTTCAGTCTCCTTCAGTCTCCTCAGTCTCCTCAGTCTCCTTCAGTCTCCTCAGTCTCCTCAGTCTCCTCAGTCTCCTCAGTCTTCTCAGTCTCCTCAGTCTCCTCAGTCTCCTCAGTCTCCTCACTCTCCTCAGTCTCCTTCAGTCTCCTTCAGTCTCCTCAGTCTCCTCAGTCTCCTTCAGTCTCCTCAGTCTCCTCAGTCTCCTCAGTCTCCTTCAGTCTCCTCAGTCTCCTCAGTCTCCTTCAGTCTCCTCAGTCTCCTCAGTCTCCTCAGTCTCCTCAGTCTTCTCAGTCTCCTCAGTCTCCTTCAGTCTCCTCAGTCTCCTCAGTCTCCTTCAGTCTCCTCAGTCTCCTCACTCTCCTTCAGTCTCCTTCAGTCTCCTCAGTCTCCTCAGTCCTCCTCAGTCTCCTTCAGTCTCCTCACTCTCCTTCAGTCTCCTCAGTCTCCTCAGTCTCCTTCAGTCTCCTTCAGTCTCCTCAGTCTCCTCAGTCTCCTCAGTCTCCCCAGTCTCCTCAGTCTCCTCAGTCTCCTAGTCTACTAGTCTCCTCAGTCTCCTCAGTCTCCTTCAGTCTCCTCAGTCTCCTCAGTCTCCTCAGTCTCCTCAGTTTCCTCAGTCTCCACAGTCTCCTTCAGTCTCCTCAGTCTCCTCAGTCTCCTCAGTCTCCTCAGTCTCCTCAGTCTCCTCAGTCTCCTCAGTCTCCTCAGTCTCCTCAGTCTCCTTCAGTCTCCTCAGTCTCCTCAGTCTCCTTCAGTCTCCTCAGTCTCCTCAGTCTCCTCAGTCTCCTCAGTCTTCTCAGTCTCCTCAGTCTCCTTCAGTCTCCTCAGTCTCCTCAGTCTCCTTCAGTCTCCTCAGTCTCCTCACTCTCCTTCAGTCTCCTTCAGTCTCCTCAGTCTCCTCAGTCTCCTCAGTCTCCTTCAGTCTCCTCACTCTCCTTCAGTCTCCTCAGTCTCCTCAGTCTCCTTCAGTCTCCTCAGTCTCCTCAGTCTCCTCAGTCTCCCCAGTCTCCTCAGTCTCCTCAGTCTCCTAGTCTACTAGTCTCCTCAGTCTCCTCAGTCTCCTCAGTCTCCTCAGTCTTCTCAGTCTCCTCAGTCTCCTTCAGTCTCCTCAGTCTCCTCAGTCTCCTTCAGTCTCCTCAGTCTCCTCACTCTCCTTCAGTCTCCTTCAGTCTCCTCAGTCTCCTCAGTCTCCTCAGTCTCCTTCAGTCTCCTCACTCTCCTTCAGTCTCCTCAGTCTCCTCAGTCTCCTTCAGTCTCCTCAGTCTCCTCAGTCTCCTCAGTCTCCCCAGTCTCCTCAGTCTCCTCAGTCTCCTAGTCTACTAGTCTCCTCAGTCTCCTCAGTCTCCTTCAGTCTCCTCAGTCTCCTCAGTCTCCTCAGTCTCCTCAGTTTCCTCAGTCTCCACAGTCTCCTTCAGTCTCCTCAGTCTCCTCAGTCTCCTCAGTCTCCTCAGTCTCCTCAGTCTCCTCAGTCTCCTTCAGTCTCCTCACTCTCCTTCAGTCTCCTCAGTCTCCTCAGTCTCCTTCAGTCTCCTCAGTCTCCTCAGTCTCCCCAGTCTCCTCAGTCTCCTCAGTCTCCTAGTCTACTAGTCTCCTCAGTCTCCTTCAGTCTCCTTTAGTCTCCTCAGTCTCCTTCAGTCTCCTTTAATCTCCTCAGTCTCCTCAGTCTCCTCAGTCTCCTTCAGTCTCCTCAGTCTCCTCACTCTCCTCAGTCTCCTTCAGTCTCCTTCAGTCTCCTCAGTCTCCTCAGTCTCCTCAGTCTCCTCAGTCTCCTCAGTCTCCTCAGTCTTCTCAGTCTCCTCAGTCTCCTCAGTCTCCTCAGTCTCCTCAGTCTCCTTCAGTCTCCTTCAGTCTCCTCAGTCTCCTCAGTCTCCTCAGTCTCCTTCAGTCTCCTTCAGTCTCCTCAGTCTCCTCAGTCTCCTCAGTCTCCTCAGTCTCCTTCAGTCTCCTCAGTCTCCTCAGTCTCCTCAATCTCCTCAGTCTCCTTCAGTCTCCTCAGTCTCCTAGTCTCCTCAGTCTCCTCAGTCTCCTCAGTCTCCTCAGTCTCCTCAGTCTCCTTCAGTCTCCTCAGTCTCCTCAGTCTCCTCAGTCTCCTCAGTCTCCACAGTCTCCTTCAGTCTCCTCAGTCTCCTCAGTCTCCTCAGTCTCCTCAGTCTCCTCAGTCTCCTCAGTCTCCTCAGTCTCCTCAGTCTCCTTCAGTCTCCTCAGTCTCCTCAGTCTCCTCAGTGTCCTCAGTCTCCACAGTCTCCTTCAGTCTCCTTTAATCTCCTCAGTCTCCTCAGTCTCCTCAGTCTCCTTCAGTCTCCTCAGTCTCCTCAGTCTCCTCAGTCTCCTCAGT